GTAAGTGAGCAAAGTGTCCCTAGCCTTCAGTACTAAACAACCAGGCAGTGGGACCTAGACCCTAATGGGACCAAGGCTCAAGGCAGAGGTGAGGGCCCACAGTCTCTCTTCACCACGTTCTGTCGCCCATGTCAGTCCCTGACACCCAACCTCTTCTTCCTTGTCCAACTGTCCTGGTGGAGCTGGGCTTAGGAGCCTCCCACACCAGCAAGCGCGGCAGAAATTTCTCCTGCCTGTGCGTGTAAGCCACCCACCACCCTCACACCACAGGTCTGGTCCCTCGTGTCCAAGTCAGTACCGGGTAAACTGTTGCTCACCGTGATGACTGGGAGGTAGGAGGGACACCACCTTTGTACTCCAAAGACCTGGGTTCGAGTCCTGCTCTTGTCCCTCTTCTATCTGTATGATCTTGGGCAAGTCCTCAAATCTCTCTGAGCCACGGGTTCCGTATCAACTAGAAACAACAATGCCTACCTTTGGGGGGTGGTGGGCTGTAAGACAGTAGACCATAGAACACTCTACAGAGGATATAATGATGGCCGGCTCCAGATTGTTCCTGGTGAGTAACCTCCTATGGGAATCATGAAAGAGGGTCTCTGTCGTCTGGGGTTAGTCTCACTTTGACAGCAAACCCCGGGAGAGATAGAACCATGCTGTCTCTGGGCTGGGCACTTTGGTGAAGTGTTTATGCCATCCTGTGGACTCTGGAGTACAATGCTCAGTCCCAGAGAACCTGCACAGGAGCAGGGGGGTAAGGCGTGGGCAGGGCGGAGAATGGCAAGAGGGAATTGGTTGACTGAAGGTTTCTCAGAATGGTTTTTTATGCTGCTTGGTATAGGCCAGTGAGTTTCCAGATGTCCAGGTCTGTGTTTTGTATGTAAATGAGTCTTTTGTTTATCAAGGGGCTCTAGACTCAGCCTAGGCTGCAGTAGCTTGCTCCTGGGTCAGGTATCTGGAGATGGGGTTACAATTGGACCATGAAACTCCATAACCAGGATGTTTCCGGGCTTGTTTCCTAGGAGCGGGGACAACGGGATATTCAAGCTGAAGTAAGATTTGCTCCCCTGGAGTGGGGTGGCGATAGAGAAGAGAGTTTGAGGGGGTGGGGAGGGATCTTCACCCACTTAAGAGGAAAACAAGAGTGTCCTGGGATTTGGTCTGTGGGTCACAAGGTGGCAGTATGGAGCTAAAAGTAAGTCCGAAGCTGACCGGACCCACAGGGAAGTCTGCCTCTGGGCTCTCATACCCACTACTTTCCCTACAAGTTCTGGAGTTTTGTCTCCTCCATTTGACCCAGTTCTCCGGAGAGAACCTGGACACATGCTTCTCTCTGTCAAGCTCATGGAGGATGTATTTGTCAAGAAAGCACAAAGAAGGGCGCCTGGGTGGCTCAGTTGGTTAAGCGACTGCCTTTGGCTCAGGGCATGATCCTGGGGTCCTGGGATCGAGTCTGACATCGAGGCCGACAGACATTGGGCTCCCTGCTCAGCCGGGATTCTGCTTCTCCCGCTGACCTCTCTCCTTTCATGCTCTCTCTCTTAAATAAATAAGTAAATAAATAATTAAATAAAATCTTCTAAACAACAACAACAACAAAAAGAAAGGATGAAGAACAAGGGCAAGGCGAGGGACTGAGTGTAGAGACTGTTGCCTGAAAAGATGAGTGTTTGAGAGAGCGAATGGGACCCCAAAAACACAGAGGAACTGAAGTTGTTATAATGTGTTCAGTTTAGAAGCTGGGGCTTGGGGTAGGAGGCCTTTTGAGAGCCCCCTGGGCCCAGAAATGCATCCTGATCCCAGGAGAAAAAGCCCACTGATGGTGGGCATAAGACACCTCCTCACCCTAGTGGGTCTTGTTGGCCAGTAACACAGCATCGCTCATGGAGTTCGGCTGTGGTTGTAGTGGGTATTAGGACGCTAGCTCCTTTAGACCAAGACTCCCTTGACGACAGGTCATGTTAATTCTGGTCCACTAGAGAGTCCCAGTTCATAACTGGCATGTCATCAACCACTCATTGCCAGTAGCAGATCAGTTTCTCTGTATCTTGTAAGATAAAGTTGAAGAGATTTTTAATTCAGTCCACACTCACAGGGGAATCCAGAGCGGGGCGGCACGGTCGTTCTTGGATGTCCCGATGGCTAGTGTATGACATGGGAGAAAGTGACTTCGTTTTGCTGAACACTGAGCTCCTCAAAAGGTGATTACCCATACAAGCAACTGTTTGTACAGATTTACCCAGCTGACCTTCCAAGCTCATGGAGGTAAAAAGGATGCTGTATTTCCAGCAACGTGGTTAGCAATGAACTTGCGGGTCACTTCACATTGTTAGCTGGCCTCAGCCATCAGCTTGCTGGCCCAGACTCCTTAGGATGGGAAATCAGCCCTCCTCTTCCCTTATCAGGGCATCAGAGAAGTCATCTGCACCATCGATGGGCACCAGTCTCCGTTAGTTACTGGGCAGTCTCACGTTCCACCCTAGTTAGAGACAGGACCCTCCTAGAATGGACCAGCAATGGGGGCGGGGGCTAATTAACCTCCAGGATATATTTATTTGCTACAAGTATCATACCTTGGAAGCCAGTCATAACAGAGTTCCTTACAGACCTTAATCAGATGGTTGGTGGCATTCAGATGTCTGTGCTCGCCGATATCAGCTCCCCACTCCAGGGGGCCCCGGCACAGACTCCTGTGGTTCAGGACCGGTCAGTTCCTGGAGCATTAATGGAGACCCTGCGCTGGGCAGGCCTGCTCCCTTTCCTTCTGCCTCTTCTCCCTTCAATTGACTTTTCAGCCTTCATTCTAAACTGAGGTCAGAAGTCACCCTTCTCTGGAATATTTTTGCTGACGATGTCTGATCTCAACATTCCATACCCAATCTGCCCAAACATTTATAAGGTCTGTTTTCATTGCTCTGTGTTCATTTCCTTCTGTCACATGTTTGGTACAGGCTCTTGCCTGTCCCCACAGCTGGGTGTAAGTGCCTTGACCTCACCCACCCAGATGTTCAAGTGTTCTTTTAATGTGTGGTTCTCTGAATTCCGGGGCCCTTCCAGAATCCTGCAGAAAGGAGGCCCTCTACCTGCACTATTTCAATTGTCCCCTCTCCTGGTGTGGGACCTGTCTCCACGGTGGGCCTGCCCAGCCTTCCTTGGGTGTATGATAACTCATCTGAACCTCTTCAGCACACCTTTAAATTCTTTTTTTTTTTCTTTTTTAAAAAGAGATCAATCAATAACAAGTGAAGTTTCAGTTTTAGATACAAAGACAGTGTTGCTGGTGGTGACGTTGTTGGTGTTTCTTCCTCATTCTGCCCCTCTGATCAATAAAAATTCTTTTTCCCACTAAGAAAAGCTCTCTAAGCAGTTGTCTTCGTCCATTCCGGTTACCATAACAAAATGCCACAAACTGGGGGGCTTATAAAGAACAGAACTTTCTTTCTCTCAGCTTTGGAGGCTGGAAGTCCAAAATCAGGGTGTCAGTGAGCTAGAGTGAGGACCGTCTTCTGGGTGGAAGACATCACGTGGGTTGTATTCTCACAAAGCAGAAGAAGCTAAGGAGTTCTGCGGGGTCTTTTTTGACAAAAGCACTAATTCCATCCAGGAGAGCACCACCCTCCCTATCTAATCACACCCAGAGGCCTCACCCTTAATGCCACCACCGTAGGGGTTAGGATTTCAACATAGGAATTTAAGGGGGCACAGACATCCGAATTGGAGTGGGAGAGGAACCACAATGAGAGCCAAGAGGTGAAGGGATGTGTGAACAGGCAGAACTGCGCAGCCCCAGAAACGCAAACCAGAACCCGGTCTTCAGATCATCTTGGGGACGAGGAACTGGGGAAGATGAAAGCCGCCCACTACTCTCAGTACCAGGACGCAAAGGGTCGTTTGCAGCCAGCAGGTGGAGCACAGGTAAAGATAGAGTCCTCTCAAAGTCCCGCATGCCCCTCCTCTGGGGTTTGAATTTGGCTAGGGGAGGACCTGGGGCGTCCACTGTTTGAGTGGACTGTTGTGAGCCAAAAAAAATTTTTTTCACTTCGTGTCTTAACTGCCTGTTGGAAAAAGTATACTGTATGTGTATCTCATCACCAATTTTAAAATATGTTAAGTAAATCCTCTGAGGTTTTGTAGGAGAAGGGTAGCTACAAACGATGACGAATTTTATCCTCCTTTCCAACAGGGACAGTCCTTATTTTTGTCGACTCTTCTGTTTCACCAATGAGAACTTCTAGGGCAGTGTCAGAGGAAGGAAATGACAGGCTTGTGGACACTTTTACTCCATTCATGATTCAGTCAAACTGTGTCTAGGCCCTTTACCCATAAATACCATGGCGTCAGCTGATTTAGAGACAAGCTGGGCTTCATGCGGTTAAGAAAGTGCCCTTTTATTCCTCATTGTTTTAATACAAACAAACAACAAACCAGAAAAGAAGATTGCACTTTATTGGGTTGAATTGGGGGAGATTTTTTTTGTCCCCTGGAATCACAGATTGGGCTGCTAGTTGGTATTTACCAGGGCCCTGTCAGCTTTCGTTCCTAAGAAACGGGGAATTCAAAGGTTGAATGATGGGGAGCTTTCTAAGTGACCTACTTAAAGTGCTGAGGGCAGGACAGCACCACTCAGCAAGATGCGGCTCTGGAAGGAGGCAGCATGCCGGGTTGGGCAAGAGGAAACCAAGACGTGGGGTTGCCATTTTATTTAAAACTTTTAAGGAAGGTGCTCGTTGCCAAACATTAAAGAGCTCCAAGAGTCATTTAATGGTAAGATTGCCAAACAGAACTCCACTACAGTTGATTAAAAAAATTTTTTTCACAATTTTCTATGGAGAAAGACGTTCCTGCTTTCTCTACTGATATCTCCCCTCGTTCATACTGATCGTGGAAGTTCTTCCTGATAGCTGATCTGACTCTTTCTTGCTGAGTGAGCTAAAAAAAGTCATTCCCCTACAAGGTGAGTGCAAGAATTTCTGGAGAACAGCACCCCCTTAAAGACCTAGACCTCACAGGGCCACCTTCGTGTACTCTACCGGCTCAGAGTCAGCAGGCTTTGCGAAAGTCCAGAAATTGGGTTTGTGGCTTTTTGGATTGACGTTCACATAATCTGTGGTTTCCTTGATGTTTTCATAGTCCAGGGAAGATTCATTTTTTAGTTCTTTGGTGGCAGAAAAGACCACTTGTGCATAATTCATATTCTTCGTGGCCTTAGAGGGGAGAAAAAGCAGAGGCATGGGGGTCAAGATTCCTACAAGGGTCAGAGGAGGGGGGAACCCCAGGACAGAAATCTCACTCAAGGAGGCGTGGTTCCCCCCCACTCAAGCTGGAAGGGAAAGTAGCCAGCTCCAGGCGCCCGGTTGGAGAGCAGGGAAGGGGGAGTTGGAGAAGACTGCCTGGTGCTTCCTGTCTGTAGGGGATTCATGGGTTTAAGGAAAGATGTGGGGACTGAATCCCAGTGAGGTCAGGACTCAAAGGGGACTTTGGCTCAGTGACTGGGGTACGGGGAGGAGGAGATGACCCATTTGATACTTGCCTTTTTACAACCCGCTCAGACCCCCTTTTGTGTGGATGATCTGTGTTGCCGTAAGCCTGCCCCCACCCCTGCCCATCCCCTAAGGATGCTGTAAAGATTCAAGAAGCCTGCCTTCCCTGCTCCCATCTCTGTAGCTGGGGCAGCCTGGGTGGTGCTAAGTCTTGTGCAGCAAGGACCCCAATGGCATACGACAGGCTGGGCTCGCTAGGGGTGTCTGTTACCTGGCAGGCTGGAGACGAGCTGCCTGAGCTGTCCGAGCTGTCAGAGCTACCTGAGGATGTGTCGCTGTCGTCTAGGGAGAAATAGAAACTGTTCTTCCAAGGAGAGCCAGGGGGTGTTAGGAGGGGATGGACACAATGGAAAGAAGAAGGAAACAAAGACAGGCAGAGCCAGCCTCACAAAGCCAAGTGGGGAAGAGAAATACAGAGCCCCCCTAAAAGAGAAAAAAGGAATTGAAGAAAGGTGGGGGAGGAAGGACCCCCAAAATAGTCAGGAATGCACCCAAGAGTCCCGGCACCACTGCTCTGTCCAGCTCCATCTAAAACCAGAAGCTGATACCCCAGGGCTGGGCTGTGTCAGGAGGGGTAAGCAGAGACACGAGGACACAGCGCAGCCCCTAGCAAACAGCTCAGCCTCCACAGTGACCTCACCCGCACAGGCTTTGATCTAGACCCGCCACTAGCTGTAGGCAGGTGACATCCCTCTTTGTGTCTGGTTTTGCTCCCCGTGAAGCAAGAGGGTTGGATGACACCTCCCAGGTCCCTGAGATCCAAAGCATCGCTGAGTCTCTGGCCAGGGCTCCGGTGAAGCTCTCGGGCCAGGGTCCCAGCGACACCAGGGCCCCTCCCCTCCCACAGAAACACTGAGTTCACATGAGTGCTCTCTTCTGGTCCCCACAGGCTCTTATCTCAGTGCCGGGGGAAGCCTGACCACCAGATCCCTCCAACTGAAAAACTAAAATTAGATGGAGCAAACGCAAATCAGCCAAGCGATAAACCATGAGAAACAGTGTGATCTCTGGGGAGTGAGTAGAGTGGGGCTGTGGTCTTGCTGTAGAAGCAGCCATTTCCACTGTGTGAACGGTGGCCTGGTGCGTCTCCCCAGCCCTGAGAGGAAGCAAAAGGGTGGTGTCCCTGTTGGTTCACTCGCCAGAGGGGGATGGGGATTTGAACCATTACCAAGACTCGTGTTTATTAAAACACCCGGGTCCCATGGCCAGAGGCCGGCAGAGGCGGTTGACATCTTGGCCGCCCCACTGACCGGCGCCATAGTATTACAGAGACAGAACAGAGATAGCCCCAAACCCCTTCTGCAGTGGCTCACATTGGACCAAACCCAGACCCACACAAACCCAGCGAGATGGGCCCCATGTGATAGGAAGAGCAGCTTACTGTAAAAGGTAGGCTTGGCAAGGCCCTCCCTGAGGTGGGCGCAAGAAATCCTCCAGTGGGGGGTTGGGCAGACGGGGACAGAGCAGAGCCGCTGTAGGGCGGCTCCCTGGGGGCCCAGACAGAGTAGAAGAAGCTTTAGGACAAGTTCGCTCCCTCCCACCCCCGCCTCTTCCTCCCCATTACTCACGCCTATAATGGGGCTCAGACACAGAGGTGCTGGGAGTCTTCTCCTTGGCAGGAAGTGGCTGATGGTGGGCAGGGCTGGGGTTTGGGGCCTGGAGCCTGGCCCCTTTCAGTAGCCGCTCACTCTCCTTGGCTAAGGGGACAAGGCAAGGGTCAACAGTGGCAGCTCTAGATTAAGCAAGCACACACTGTCTCTGAGCACTGCCCTCAATAGGGCAAAAACATTTAGAGGGACCTCTTCAAACCTCAGGCCTCCATTCAAAACCCTGCAGCAGCCCTCGCCTAGTTCAGAGTACAGGCTGAAATCCCAGCCTCCAAGGACCTCCATTGTGTCACTGTTCCTCTCAGTTCCAGCCACCTTGGCCTCTCTGCTCCTGCTGTTCGCTACCAAACACCCTTCTGCCTCAGGGCCTTTGCAGATGCATCTCGATCCCTCACTTCCAGAGGTTTATACTCAAATGTCAGCAAGTCAGTGTCAGTAATGCTGGCCACCATCCCTTTCCTATCTCCTTGCCTTGCTTCATCGTCTTCTTTCCTAGCATTCACCATAATCCAACACGTGTGTGTATTACCTGTTTATTTGGTTTGTTGTCTGTTCCCCCCATGAATGCAAGTTATAGAAGGACAGGGAATTTTGTTTTGTTCCCTGTTGTAATGAATGAACGAATGGCTGGAGGGATGGATGGCTGGAGGGATGGATGGATGGATAGATGGAGGGATGGATAGATGGATAGATGGATAGATGGATGGATGGATGGATGGATGGATGGATGGCTTGAGAAGCCTTTCATTATTTACTTCATTTATTTCTTTATTTTAGACTGCCTTTATTTTACTTTCCCTAATTATAATGTCATCCCAGAACAGAACTTCTCTATTTTCCATCGTGAATCACTTCAAGAATGTAAGCTAGTCTCTTAGTCCAGTCATACCCAGAGCCATGTTTTGGCCACTGAGTCCTTTGGCAGTGATGAAGAAGATGAGTCAGATCCCGGCTGAATGAGCCCACCCCCGAGAGCACTGCTGGAGCTGGTCTCTGGGTAGAAGGTCTGGATAGTGGAAGGACTGTGGGCCACCATCCCCAACCAGAAACAGCTCGGGTCAGAGTGGGGAATTACCCAGTAAGGGGTGATCTGGCCAGTGGATTCTCAAGTAGGTATTCCAGGGGTGTTCAGGGGCTTGTCTTGCTGGAGGCTCGGGGACGGTCCCTACAAGTGGCTAGGAGGGAAGGGAATGCAAGGCCACTTACCCATGTGCCTGCTGAGCAGGTAGCCGATGGCCGCAAAGAGGCAGGCCTGTAGGATGAGGGACACCACTGCAATCACTAAGCCCTGCCAGAGCTTCATGTCTCTGTTGGGACAGGAGAAGGGTCGGAGTCAGAGGCTGCAGAGATTCTAATAGAGCCACACACCCATCCTGGCCCCCAGCCAGAGACAGCCATTGGTTGATGCTGTGTGTCTCAGAGCCGGTGCCTTTGCCTCTCTGGGCAGCCAGGGAGGGTGGTGTGCGTGCTCAGAAGCTAGCTACACCTGTGAGTCTGATTGGAAAACCCCACTCACTCTGTCAGCATGATGGGCTTGCAGGGCGGCCGCGGGTCGCCAGTGAGGCTCGGGCTCTTCCAGGGGCAGAAGGAGGAGACGTGCGGGGCACCAGGCTGGGCACCTGGTCTGCACACAGGGCACCCGCAGGACCGTCCAGGAGAAACGCAGGAGGCAAGGCGGCTGCTAGGAATCCGGGGCTCTACGCCCCAGTTCCCCTCAGGCAAACTCAGCTGCTCAGGGGGCCACTGGCTTTCCTCTCCCCAGATTGCAGTTTCTGAATATACAAAAGAAGGAGTAACTAGTCGTTAGGTATTTGTACCCAACAGCGGGTGGCGGGGTGGAGGTTGTGGGGCAGGCACTGGATGCCGGCCACAGCGCTGAGCCCCCTCCTACCTCTTTCACGCGGCCCAGGGCTGAGAGATTGTAAGACCCCCCGTCTAATAACGAGCTTGTGGGATTCAGAGAGCAGAGGGACACAGCTGAGGTCATGTAGCCGGTACACGGCCGGGCCTAGCTTTGGGCTCTAAACTCAAGCCGACAAGTCCAACCACTGGTCCTGGCTCCCGGGGAGCCTGCTGCTGGAAGTGCCAAGGGTTCCACTCAAGCAAATGCAGCAAGAGGGAGTCACGGAAGAAACCTAGATCTTAAATACACACACATATGCACACACACTCACATGCACACCGGGTGCGGCTTTATGGGGCTTTAGGACCAAGACTCTGGATGTATGCCCACGGATATGTGGATTTTAAAAATCAGCGTATGCATTTCATCAGCATTTTGCTGAATATGGCATTTACTCTAAGACAAAGGCAGGACAACTTCAAAACTTTTGAAAGGATACTTACTTACACCATCCTGAGATGGGGCCACAACCCCCCAGTTGTCCTGTTGTACACTGTAAACCTTTACAAGACTTTTACTGTCATTGAGGTTTCCAAGGGCTAAGGGTGGTGTGGAAAGTCCTGAAAACTTTTGTTTTAATTGTGGTTCTCACACCAGGGCTTTCTAAGATCAGAACTGGGACCAAGAGTCAAAAGAGAGAGAAGGCCGTGTCGGGCAGGAAGATGTGTGGGGTTTGCCACGAAGGCCCCTCCAGGGCTGTGGGTGTTGGCCAGTTGGAAGTTTCCAGAGAGAAAATACCACCATCTTCTTTCACACAGTAACAAGCTAGTCCTTGGCCATGACTTCACAAGATCAAATGTTGGAAACAACACATATCCAATTTATTCATCCTACGTCCTTAACCCGCCCCTTTTCCTATATAATAAGTTCTAGCTACTTCTCCCGAAGGCGCCTAATATTACCCTTTGCTTTTCAAGTTGAATGCGGCAGGTTGCCTCACGAGCATCATGCGCTGGTTAGAAGGGGTTTGGGGGAGCGGGAAGTAGACACAACCCAGACGGGCAGGTGAGAAAACACCTCAGGAAGTTCCCAAAGTCCATAGACAAGTGCATAGAAAATCCAGTATTGCCCCCACTCCCTGCCCCCAGTGATCAGCAAACTCCAGAAAGAAAGCTCAGTTAAAAGTGACTAGTGCTGGACGCCTGGGTGGCTCAGTGGTTTAAGCCTCTGCCTTCGGCTCAGGTCATGATCTCAGGGTCCTGGGATCAAGTCCCACATTGGGCTCTCTGCTCAGCAGGGAGCCTGCTTCCGTCTCTCTCTCTGCCTGCCTCTCTGCCTGCTTGTGATCTCTCTCTGTCAAATAAATAAATAAAATCTTAAAAAAAAAAAAAGTGACTTGTGCACAACATAAAATTTACAGAGCTGGAAATAAAACACTAAAACAATGGAGATGAAGCAAAATGGGGGTTTTTCAGGAAAAGACAATGATCTTCAACGGGTCGGGGCAACTTGATTGAAAAAAGGCATAGATGAGAGTTTTAATGCCTTGCTCTTGACGTATTTTGGATAAGCCCTCCTAAAATTTTGACAGGTATTGATTTCTGAAGCCAATTCCAGTATTGATTTCCGGGGCAGCAGCAAAAGGGAGATTGGACTTTAACAGAGAGCTTTATTGAATCACAAAAGACGTGAACATCACAGGAAGGAGCTAGAAGCGAGGCCAGTGTGTCTGGGAAACCAACAGTGTTGTTCCAGTTTCAAAGGCGCTCTAGTGGTTTAGTATTGATTACCTCATCTTCAATGTCTCATTTGTTCTTAATCACAGAAATTATTCTCTTTCTTTCATCAGAGGGAATAGCCAGAAAGCCACTAAGGGCTGTGTTCTGAAACCACACTCGAATTTTAATTTTTTTTAAGGCTCCTCTCTCTCCTTATTTATTAAAAATTAAACAACCAACGGACATTTGTGGTGGAATTTAAAATGCAAATAAGCAAAACATTTCACAAAATCACCTGCATTTTATTCTGTAACATTTTCTACATATTCTCATAACTATAGGTACTCTTTCTATGTGCGCATGTAAATACATGTGTACACGTATACAATCTTTTCTAAACACGGCATCGTACTGATCGGCAGCTTTTCCGCGTCACTGAATGTATCGTAAACATGTTTCCAGGTCAGAAAAACCTCCGTTACAAAGCTCCAAACTGGAGGCCCACAGACCAAATTTGGTGCCCCAGTGATTCTGTTTGATGAGGTCCTTTCAAGACTTGGATTTGGAGACCCTGAGAAGGATATGTACTCTTCAGTCCCTGACTGACCCCTGAAGCCATTTGAGTGTGCTACCCTTGAGTTTGATGCTTCATTGTGAGTTACTACTATTCCTCTTTATCAGTATTTCTGAGCACTTTTTCTGAGCTCTAGCTCCAATAGATCTTTCATTGTTGTCTAGAACTCTTTTCCGCTGTGCTGGACATTTCGACATCCCAGGAGACCACCATCTTAATAGGTTAATGGGACAACCAAAATGACTGAGAAAGGCCCTACACATTTCCAAAAGCCCCACCCCGAGGCAGCAACTCTTGCCCCCAGTTGAGAATCACTGCATTAAATCAATGTTCCGTTGTTTTAAAACCGATACCTTCTTTTGGCTCTTTATATTAAATTATAATGCCTCTACTTCCTTCCATCGTTTTCATATATTACCAACATCTTACCAGCCAAATGACACACTGTACCTGTGCGAGGATCAAGCTTAAAGTCCAACAGATGTTGGATAGAGTCCAAGTTCTCTTCCCTTCCAACTGGGAATTATTAAACTTCTCAGTACCTCAGCCTCTGTACCTGTGAGATGGAGAGAATGACAGCCTCTGCCTCACTGAGTTCTTGTGTGGGCTTGGTGCATTATGCTGTTTCTAAAGACCGGTACACAATGCCAGGCATGGGGGAAGCACTCAGTGATTATGGTTGGGCCCCCTTGACAATTTGACTTGATTTTTAGACGTGACAGTGGTGGAAAGCACACCCATTCAGTAGAAATCGTGCTTGGAATTTTGAATCTGGATCTGTTTGCAGGCTGGCCAGGCACGGTGCGGTACCCTGTCTGATGCTGGGCAGCTCCCAGTCAGCTCTGCAAATCACAAGGGTCAACAACCGATACACTCATGACCCTGCCACACCCCCATACGCATTCTGTTGTTTGCTTTCAGTGCCGGGTTCAATAAGCTACATGAGATATTCAACACTTTATTATACAATAGGCTCTGTGTCGGATGATCTTTGCCCAACCATAGGCTAATGTAAGTGTTCTGAGCTCGTTTAAGATGGGCTAGGTGAAGACATGTTTGGTAGGTTAAGTAGAATAAATGCAGTTCAGGCTTCGGACGCTTTCAATTTGCAGTGGGATTATTGGGACCTAACCCCATTGTAAATGGAGGAAGATCTGAAACACTTCACCAAGATGGCGCCTAGAGTAGAGCTATTAGAATTGAGCCGGTCTATTTGAGGAAACTCAGGCACTCATGTTGAGTATAGTTTGAAGGTAAGAACTGGGACAGGATGAGGTACAAAAATGATGACAGATGTCATTACTTAAGTGGCTAATGGCCCCTAACCACAATGAACAGGTTGTTCCTTGGGGTCTAATTGCAGATTGCTGATCAGACAGTGGGCAAAAACATCTGCTCATTTGCACCCCCCCCCACACACATACCAAATAACCAGGAAATGAGCAAATTAGGGTAATTAGGTTGTGAAAAAAAGTGCCTGGACCATGAGAGAGTTTGCCACTGGCTCATCCCATCATCAAGATTGGGACTGTCTTGCCCTCTTTGACCTGCTGAGTTTTGACACGTGAACCAACACTAATGTAGCATCCAGCCAAGGACCTGCCAACCACAGTCCAGAAGAGTGCTGGAAGCATTTCCTCTGTTCACTTCAGGCCTGCCTGGAAATCCCAAGACCTCCGGGTACACCTGGATCCCATCTTTCTGCTTCCCCGTTCTAATGATAGAGGGGCCTTTAGTTGGTACAACCCAACATTGACGTGAAATAATAAGGACACACTGCATTCCTGCCTGACATGCTTTCTTTGGAGAGTCACTCTACGAAGAGTGGTTCAAAACAAGAGCACAATAGAAGATTTCTATGAAAACCACACGGATTGCAATAATCAATAATTGCTATCAATATAGTTAGGGCTTTATTGATTTTTTTTTTTTTTTGACAGAGAGAGAGAGAGAGTGAGCAGAAGCAGGGGAAGCAGCAGGCAGAGGGAGAGGAGGAAGCAGTGTCTCCACTGAGCAGAGCCCAATGACGGGGGACTCGATCCCAGGATCCTGGGATCATGACCAGAGCAAAAGGCAGACACTTAACTGACCGACCCACCCAGGCATCCCTTAAAAAGACTTCTTCTGCAATCTTCATTAGCTTATTTTTATTTATTTATTTTTTTTTTATTAGCTTATTTTTAAAATTAAAATTTTGAGCCATAGCATAGCTGAATGGTGTGGAGAGAGAACAAAGCCAAAGAGATGAGAGCGGAGCTTCTTCTCCCAGCCCTGCCACTCCCTCACTGTGGAACTGAGACAAATAGACGTCCTTTCTAGGCCCTGGCGAATGAATGGCTGGACACTTGAAAGTCCTCCTCAGGCTCTTTTGAGATCCAAGTATTCTGTTTTT